AATAATTTGTTGCTCCTAAAAACGCTTGTACCTCCGCTTTATTATTCGGGGCTCTCATATTCATGATCTTATCTATATTTTTCACAATTGGCGTAATCTCATTTCCCTTTATAACATGTCCTAAATACTTTATTTCTCTTTTACTCCAAAAACGCTCTTCTTCAAATTAGCTTTTAAACCATTTTCTAATATAATATCTAACACTTTAACTAATTTTGAATTGTGTTCTTCTTCTGTTCTACCAGATATCAAAACATCATCTAAATAATACATTATTCCTTTTATTCCTTGAAATAACGCCGTCATCGTTCTTTGAAATATTGGCGCTGATATTTTCAAACCAAAAGGTAATCGGCAAAATGCAAACAAACCTCTATGAGTTGTAATCGTTAGTATCTTACTTGTCTTTTCACTCACCTTAATTTGCAAATAAGCATTTGAAAAATCAATCTTTGAAAACAGGGTGTCTCCTCTTAAATTCGCTAGCAGTTGTTCTATTCTAGGTAGTGGATACTTTTCATTTATTACGCACTTATTAACTGTTACTCTATAGTCTATACACAATCTTAAACTGTTATATGGTTTTCTTATGGGCACTAAAGGTGTTGCCCATTCACTATGCACTATTGGTTTTATTATTCCGTCTTTTAACCATTTATCTAAATTCTTTATCTATCTCTTCTATCCAAGAAAACGGTAATCTTCTTATGCCGCAAAACTTAGGCCTATAATTTTCTTCTAATCGTATATCTACTTCAAAATTTTTCAGCGTACCTAATTCTTCTTTAAAGACTTCATTATACCTATTCAAAATAATCTTTATTTCTTTGTCAACAATATCTTCAACAACCTTCTGGTCTACCATATTATTAATTTCTTGTTTAATTTCGACTGAATTTACCTCTATTGTCTTTGTATCTCTTGTTTTCTTATTTTCTTCTAAGTTGCTTCTATATTTAATCAAAAATTCTGGTGTTCGATTTCTAAGTTTATCGAGAACTAATTCTTGTTTATCCTCTATAATATGTAACTTAAATCTATCGAAATCTATCATTTCACTATTTTCATCATTACTTACAGGGATAGTATCGAAAAATTTCCACCAATTATAAACTGGACCTAACGTTCTTATATCATACCATCCTAAAATCGGTTCAATCTTCAACGTCGTTATCCACAAATTTATACTTTTTATTAACTCTTGGTAACCTTACCCTATAATACCCTAAAATTTTCGCCATGCTACCATCCAATTGTTTGGCTCTTATCTTTTTTGTAACAAATTCTTTCTCTGGCCAAAATCTCATAAAATCCTTTATACTTATTAAACTAATTTCTGCTCCTGTATCTAATAAAAAACAAATTTCTGCTTCCTCCATGTTTATCTTTACTCTAGGGCATCTATTTTTCATTAAAAAATTCTCTAATTCCATCTTTAGTACGTCTACCCTAGTTGCCTTTTTAATTCTATATATTTCAAAATCTCTACTTTTTATCTTTATATCACTTCTATTAATATCGCTTGAATTATAATTATCAACATTAAAGCACTTTTTATCATCGCAAAATTTCTCGTTCTTATTACCATAATTATTCTTACTTGCACTAGCATTATCAACATTATCCAAATTATCATTATTAAAATTAAAATACTTATTTTTACTACAATTATTAACATTAACAAAATTATTATCATGATCTAATATATCATTACAAAATTAAAATGCTTAATTTTACCTGTACTAAAATTAGAAAAACTATTATTACCAAATTTATTATTAAAATTAAAATATTTATTCTTATTTTCTACTAAATTATCAACATTAAAAAAATTCTTAAAATCATTATCAAAATATTTCTTTCTTAGTCATTTGTTACATTTTTCTTGAGTGTGTCCATCCTGGCCACAAATATTACATCTCACAATTATATTATTTAACCTACATCTTATAGCTAAATGGCCATTCCTGCCACATCTCGCGCATTTCAAATCTTTTGTTAACTCACAATCACGCGACATATGGCCTGACTGACCACAGCTATAGCAACTTATCTGTCTGTAATTATCCGTTCGTATGAAGTTGTTTATATTTCTTTTCTTATCTTCCTCTCTTAATATATTCTTAATATTTTCTACCTCTTTAATCTCTATCTTAACGTAAGTCGTATTTCTTCCTATAATTAAACCTAACGTGAAACTTAAAATTAGCACCAAAAATATAATTATACTTATATTTTCAAGTGTATTAAACTTAATAAATTTATTTTCGTAATATACATTAAAGTGTACTCAATAACCACTTGATTAAAATAATTTTAAATAATTTAAAAAAATTGTATAAATATAAAATTACTACTATAATAAATAAAAGTAATAATAATTTACATAACATAAAATAGATTTGTTTTTACCTTTGAATTCCTATGTGAATATCTAACAGGCCCTGATTTACTTCGGTCCAAATTGTTATAAGTCCGAACTTAACTCAGGGTGTTTAATCAGTATTGGGAGAGCAATTAAGAATCCAAGGTTTGTTAAATCTTTCTTTATTAAAATAAAAGATTAATTTTAATAATAATGATGTTTAATTACTTACCCTTGAGTACCTAAAATATATAATGTAATTCCTCTCAATAATTCTAATTTATCAAATTGTATATTTACCTTTTCTTTATTAACTCTTTCCTTTTTTATTAATTTTATTTTCAAAATGTCGTTCGATTGTATGTGTTAAAAAAAACAATTTTTCTTAGCTATTTATATAGCCATTAAAACATTATATGTATTTGCATATTAAAATAATAATTTTTGGAAGAAATAAATACATAAAATAAAATCCATCATTTAAATTACTTGTTACATAAACTATAAAAAAAATGTAAAATTTGTTTTGCATATACAAATATAATTTTTCGCAGAAATAAACACATAAAATAAAATCCATCATTTAAATTATCTTTGTTCCATAAATATACTTTGCATAATCCAACAATACTCTAACCTTAATAGTCTATATTTTATTGAATATAACAAATTCAATTTGAATTTTATATGTATAAGATAAAATAATTTAATGTAGATTATCCTTGATAGTCTATATTTATATTTTCTACTTTCTTATGATTTAACATGCAAAAGTATAAAGGAGTTGCTAGAGTTTATACCATAAGTAACAAAATCTATTTATATTAAAACTGATTGGCCTTGGTTAAGGCATGAAAAGAATAGATCAAAAAAGATGGAAATTTTTTATATAGATGACATCGGATTAAATGTACTTAGCCTAATAAGTATAGATATATTACAATGTAGGTAAATTAATTCCAAAATTAATAAGGTAGTTGTTAAAATAGTAAATCTATAGGAACCAAAATCAATATATAATTTATATGAGATTAAATATATAGAATATAAAATAATTTCATGATAAACTATAAATTTAATCGTCTTGATTCATAAAAGCTTATAAGAGAAATAAAATTAGGACTAGGTTACAGTAATTTAGACACAAACTTATTAGAAAAAATAAACTTGGGAGATCATCTGATAAAGGTTGATACCAAAACCATCAGTATACAAGTGCATATTCAATACCGGAAAAAAATGTAATATTTTTTATATAATTTCATACGTGTGCTTTTGCCCTCTAGCTTTGCAAGGTTCAACAGAGCTACGCTAGGTTTTCCTCATTTCCATCTAATTGGAATTAATTTAATTTGGGTGTAAATGTAAAAATATGAAGGGCCTTCCACACGTTTGTGGGCAAGCCGCACGTATATGTAAGCGCAACACCGAAAAATGTTACTTACTCCATAGGCTTATTAAAAAGGAGTGGGGCAGAAAAACAGTCTATACCCGAGAACTACAGTATAATTTCAGTATCGATTACGCTCCGCAATTACTATTATTAAAAAATGTAAAAGCAAATAAGCTAAAATGACTGTCAAAATGGACCCTCTAAGTTTGAGTGGGAGATTTATAATGGAATTGTTACATGGTAACCAAAATATTGCAATCTATCCATTCCACAATTGCAAAGTTTCATAAATAGCTGGCTTTATATTAGATCTAGAAGGAGTCTCTATTAATTTTATTCATTATAAAAAATCTTATATCAGTAAGTTGGGTAAATTTTATTTAAGATATGATTAGTGTTTTATTTTGAGAAGTATGTGAAACTAATGTTGATAAATAGGTATCTAATAATCTCATATTTTAGCTTTAAGTTTCAATCTACCTCTTATATATTAATATTACAAATTCTACTCCATTTTTCATATTAAATTATTTATTAAAATTAAATAAAATCTTACAATGACTTTTTTAAAAATCTTATATATCAAATAATGAATTAATGTGAAGTCATATTTTCATAATAAAAGATAATATATAATAACAAACATTGATACCCAATATACATATATAATTTCATTAAATAATCATACAAATGAAGAAAATATAATCTTTAATATCAATATTAAATGTAAATAAAATTTTATAATCTTAAATACAAAACAATTCTATAAATATTAAATGTAAACAATTTTTTATATATTAATTGAAAAACAATTTTATAAATATCAAATGTAAAACTATTTCATCATTCATAGAAGGTAGAGGACCAAATAAAACACATCATAAACTATATAATTATTTATAAACTAATTGCAATAGTTTGTTCACTTCTTTAAAGAACTTTATAAAATAATAATTCATATTTTACTTTGTATCTTTTTTTTATCCTAAGAGCTATAATTAATAATTGCCAACAGTTATTGATAAAAATATATTTGAAAAAATTATTTCCAAAATAATATAATATTTAAAAATTATAAATTGAGCAATAAGCTTAAGATATTAAGCATATAAATTTTAAGCTTAAGCGAAATTTGGCGAAAAGTTAAGCGACAAAATACCTAATTATAACTTAAAAATAGTAAAGGCGTACTCAATGACATACATTGAGCGTACTATACGAATATTATACATATCTCCCTGTCAATCACTTAATTTCGGACAATTCTGTTTACCTTTTCGATATGATAAGAAACAATTATGATCCATCACAATCACAGCACTTTAATCCTAGGCCACCCCAAAATAGAATGGGGTTCTCTTCAGTTTCACCATTAAATCAAGCAAATATATCCCAAAACATTCATACACATAATATAGGCGGAAAACGACCTATTTATTACCCTACTATGACCCAAGTTATAATTCAATGCCGTTTTAAAAAAATTAAATATTAATAATAGAACAATTATATTCAAAATCCTTTGGTTTATAACTCAAATGTTAATGAAAATGCACAAAATATGAATTTTTATCAGCCTATAAGGAACAGTCCAGTTACAATATAAATTTATATATATTATCATTTTATAATTTTTATTAGTTAATGCAATCACAATTAGAAATTCAATCACCTTTAACATCTATTGGGTTAGTCAAGTTATAATATTCATTAACTTATTACCTTTTTACAGGCTATCTCCAATGAATATGGTTGGAACACCATTGAATTCTTCATATCAAATTTCATCACCATTGTTGAAAAGTATAATTATTTATTTGGCTTTTAATACTTGGATTATATTTTGAAATTATATCTCAAATCTTTACTACTTAATGTTGTATTGCTTTTAAATTTTGTTATATCTATATGAAAGCCCATATTATATAGCCATAAAATATTATTGGTTATAATAAAAGATATTCATTATCTTAATCAGCTATTGTCCATTGAGAATTTATGCACAAAATTCCTGGCCCAACCAGCAATTATTTTCAGACCAAGCCCATTATAGTTATTTAGAAAATTTAACAAACCTTTAGCCCATTATAATTATTTTTAATTTGACCTGACCTGCAGAGATTTTATGAAAAATCAGGCAGGATCTGTTAAATTTAAAAGTTTACTCAGGCCTTTAATAAAAATTTTTAAACCATCCCATTTTTAGGAAAGAAAACAGGGATGTGTGTGAACCCTTCGACAAAAAAAAGGGTCTGGGTTCACGTACAGGAATAAAATTTGAAAGGACCCAGGTTTAGGGTTTGGGTCCTGGTTCAGGGAACATAAAAATAATGACTCAAAATAAGATTATTTTTTATTCATTTATTATTATATTTCAATATATATTCATAATTTATAAATGAAAAATTTAAAAATGTTTTAAATTTTTTATTCTCGCATAATCATAATATCTTCTATAATATCATCCTTGATATTTCCACATAAAGTAGACAATATATCAGAGACCTGCAGGCATGGGTACTAGGGCTGGGCCATATTTTAAATTTTTAAAATATTAACGGGCCAGGCCTGAAAGTTTTTTTTAAAAACCTGGGCAGGGCCGGGCCGTATTTTTTAAAAAAAATTATACAACATGAATTATTATATTCGTCAATTAGATATGGTTTTAATGATTATATATAGTTATGTTTAATATAATGTTTGGTGAAAGTTAACACTAGCTAACACTCATAGTTATCTATTACATAATAAAATTATAGTTTTCCTGCCATGGAATAAATACGCAAAGGATTAAATACATTATTATATAATATATAATATATATGTTATATTTTTTATTAAAAATATTATTTTTATTTTTTTTATAAATACATAGGATTTGTAATATAATATCTGTTTAGAATAATAAAAAAAAATTCAGTGTTGTTAAATGGCTCGTTTTGAGCCGATTTTTAAAAACGGCTAACTAAGTTTTTTATCCAGAAAAATTTTATGCAAGCCTGAAAATTTTGCTCATAAAAGGAGCAAAGGTCTAGACATATAGTATCGAAATTTTGAGGCTTAGTCAATATTTTTCTGGCAAAAATATTGAGTTAGCCCTTTTTAAAAATCAAAACGAGCCGTTTAACAACATTAGCTAATATACTTGCTTATTAAATAATAATACTTGCCAAAAAATATGATAAAATATGAAATAATGAATTTTTTGAATATACCAGGTCGAATATAATTTTTAAAAATTCCAAGCCGGGCCTAAAAAATTTTTTTTTTTTAAATCTAAGCCAGGCCGGGCCCCCAATTTTTTTTTTTAAATATTCTGGCCGGGCCTAAAATTTTTAAACCCAGGCTGGGCCTGAGCGTAAAAATTTTTGGAAAAAAAATCCGGGCTGGGCCGAAAATTTTTTAATCTGGGCCGGGCCGTACAAATGGTACCTCGTACCTCTGCAGGTCTCTGCAATATATATTTCAAAGATAAAAGTTCACTTTCTACCCTTACCTAAAATAGAGAGTTATCTTTATAAAATTATTGTATTGTATCGCCAGTACAGCCATGAAGATTCTAGATAAGATATATAATTCTGGTTATATTGAAGAATTTTCTTTCCAAAATTTTAAAATATTTATATCCTTATTTATTATCTTAACTTCTGAGAACTTTACTATTAAAGATGTAATAGGCATTTTTTGATCCTGATTTCTATCTGATGATAATTTGATTTTTTTTTCTTTATCTAAAAGTAAAATTTCAGGATCATCAATGTTGCTATCATTATTATTATTATCACTACAACCACTAGGTATTGTTGTAGCCTCCAATATATTGTAAATAATGGAGTTTCACTTATGCCATAAATCCTTAAGATGGTCTTTGGCCATTTGTTTTTGCTCAATACTCAATAAAACTTGATATCGAGGGTCTAAATATATAGAAGCGTATACAACACTATTTTGCAAATATTGTTGCTCTTGAATTTTCATGTTTTCTCATATTTCGTATAAAAAGGACTAAATTTTTCTAAATCTAATTGGCATCTAATAAACTTAATTGTTCAGGTTGTAATCTTAAAATTGTTATTTTTAAAGGAACTAGGGCTGTGCCGATATTAAATATTGGATCGGGCCGATACCTGTCATAAAACTGATCCAATCTTTTTACTTTTCTTTTCTTTTCTTTTTTTTTGTTATTTTATTTTATGTTATGTATATTTAATATACATTATTATAATATTTTCTAAATAATTTTTTTAAATTTTATTTCTTTTTTTAAATTTTATATCTTTTTTAAAATAGATTTATAGTATTTTAAAAGTTTTTTTTATAAAAATAAAAAGAAACATCCAAAGTTTCATTTATTTTAAATCTTTTTAAATAACGGCATATTTTTTATTTATACTTTAAATAAAAGATTTTTTTTAAATATGGTATAATTATGGAAATATTTTACAAAAGACAAAGATAATTTTGCAAAATGCGTTATTTGTGTAATCATCTGAGTCTACCTTCAGTACGGCAAGAGATATAGATAGTCCATATCATAGAAGCTCATTCCCAGAAAATCTGGAGGCTCTCATATTTATTAAAAAAATCTAATATATTATTAATTTTATATATTAAATATTACAATTTTATAATTCATACCAACATAAAATGGACATATTATTAAATATATATTTTTTTTATTATAGTCTTCAATGTAGAAATAAAAAAATTAAATTAAATTCATAATTCGATTTTTTGCATAAAAAATATTTATTTCTTAATTACATTTGGTCTAAACGGGAGTGATTAAAAATCAGTATAAATATCGGATCGGGTTTGAAACAATATCAAAAAATATAGGATCGGTGATTAAAAAGTGTGGATCGGCACAGCCCTAAAAGGAACTAATACACTAGTAAGGTCCTTTATTTGGCATCAATCATCTTCCAACAAAATGACTTCACATGCTCCTATAATAAAATCATTACAGAAATCTTTCAAACTTAATAATAGTTCTAGCATCATACAAACTGAGGACCAACGTGTTGTGCAATATCATTATCATTTAAATTAAAATATTATTTATTGTACTACAAAACAATTCACTTTCAAAATAATCAACGTATTTCTATAACATAGCATATTAATAAATTTACATAATAAAATAATATTACACTAGAAAATAATTTATGATATCAATCTCTAATTAAAATGGAAGTCCAGGAAGAAAATTGAAAGAAAAACGCGAAGATAAAATAAATGATTCCACAAAACAGTTAATAAAATTTATATTATTTTTTGAAAAAATATTATTATTTTTAAAATTTTTTATGACAATTAGAACCCTTGGACCCTCCACTTTTAAAAAGGGTCCGGGTTACATCCCTGAAAGAAATCTCTTTTTAAACTTTAAAAATATTTTTATAACTTGAAGAAACCTCATAATATATACTCAATGGTAACTTTTTATTTTCAATTCTTGTATATATATGCTATTCTATAATTATTCAATTTAGATGACCTTTTATATATATCATTAAATATAAATGAGCTATATTGTATAACAAATATTATTCAAATAATGAATACTCTAAAAATGATGAAAAATTATTTGTAGCTTTAGTAAATTTAGAAGATATGTCCGGTTTAATTGAGCCTTTATAGTCAATAATAATGCCTAAATAATTAAGGGATTTATTAAAAATAATATTATTGTTATTAAATTTAAGATTAAGATCTAGGGGGGATGTAGAGAGTATTTTAGTTTTATTAAAATTAATTTTAAGATTCATTTGAAGGAGAACTAAGGAGATTTTCGTAAAAATATTATTAGTATAAAATTAAAATCTTCGGTAATAATACAGATATCGTCCGCGTAACAGAGCCAATCAACATTGTGAAAATTGCAAGAATAAATGATATCACTAATTAATAAATTAAAAAGGGAAGGAGAAAAAGTTTAAAGTAAGGTGAGGATAAGTTATTATGTTTAATATTAACAAAACTATTTTCATAAATATACATAATAATTTTGATAAGATGAATGTTAATATTATATTTAAAGAGGATATTCCAAAGTATTGATGTTTTATGGAATCGAAGGCTTTTGAAATATCAATAAAAATAATATATGTATTGGTTTTATAAATATGTGCTTTCTCCAATCTTATTTTAAGTGAAGAAATTAGTTCAATAGTATTTGCCCTGGTCTGAAGGACACAATGGAATTGCGAATATTTTTGTTAATATCTTTAGAAATAAGATTGAAGATAAATGTAGTAAATATTTTGTAAAAAGGAGAAGAAAGAGTGATGCCTCTATAATCATGGATTGAGGAAGGGTTTGGGAATTTAGGTAGGTTAATAATGGTGGATTTACACCTATTTGTAGGTAGGATTGTTGTATTCCATATAGTATTTAAAGTAGGAAAGATAATATTGGTGATAGTATTTGGAAATATTTTTAATATTTCATTATGAATATTATCATAAGGTGATTTATGTTTTTTTAGATTTCTTATAATATTAATAAAATCATTTTTGTTGAGGGGGAAGGGGGGAGTAGTAATAAGTTGAGATGAAGATAAGGAAGAGGGACAGAGAAATTTATTATTAAAAAGTGATCTATAATGATCGAAAATGTTTAATTGATGAAAGGATTTTTTATAATAATTTTACGAATTTTCAAGTTATTAATTTTTTTATCATTGGAAGAAGTGATGAATTTTAATGTTTTAAACGCATTATATAGATCGTTATTACGTTTAAATTCAGAGATATTATTGATTCTATTTTTAAGAAAATTTCTTTTATCTCTTCTTATTGATTTTTTAATAATTTTAAGTGTGGTTTTAATATGTTCTTTTTTTCTAGTTTGTTTTTTTATGTTTTTATTGGGTGTTGATTAGGTTGGAAGTATGAGGACTTAGCCAATCAGGGTAAATGGTTTTAATATTTAAGTGAAGATTCGCAGAATTGATAATGGAATTTTGAATATTGTTCCATGAATTGTTATTATTGATTGATTTGAGACTTGAATGATATTTATTAGCTAATGTTTGGATATTTAAATTATTGATATTATATTTTTTTTTTGGTGTGGAAGGTATAGATTTTTTTGAATTGGCAATATTAAGATTTCTTAATAATGAGAGTTTAATGAAAAGTTGTAGACCAATAGGACGATGGTCTGATAAGAAATCTATCTCATTGAGAATTATAATATTTTGAATAAAAAAATTCATTTTAATACTAGTGAGAAAAAAATCTGGTTTACTTTTGTATAATGAATTGGGTTTGAAATAAGTAAAATAATTATTGTTTTTTTGTTTAAAAAAAGTGTTAATTATAACCTAAGGTTAAATTTCTTACCGGTTTCAATAATCTTTTTACTATTTTGATTTGTATTTTGGTTTAGAGCAGCAAAGCCTATGATATTGTTGATGTTTTAATTGCCAATTTATGTTAAATGTTAATGACACAGGAAAAACTTTAATTAATAGAAACATAAGAAAAAAAACTAAGAGGTTACACAATCTTTACTTCAAGTTCTTCTAATAACCATAATGGCGTATCATTCATTATGACATTTTAAAATTCACAACAAACTTTACTCCTATAAATGACAGAATTGCTTGCATAACTGTAAAAACTAAAGGCAAAAACATACATCTTATAAATATTTGTGCTCCTGCTAATTCCACTGTTTACCCAAAATTTACAACCTCTCTAATAGTCATCTTAAACAAACTAATACAAATCATTTCATTATTATTGGTGGTGATTTTAACATGAAAATTGGCAATGAAAACATCAACAATATAATATAGGTTTTGCTACTTTGAACCAAAAAACCAATAACATTGCTAAACAAGTTATTGAAACTTGTAAAAAAAAATTCAATCTTAAAATAACAAACAGTTTTTTTTAAACAAAAAAATAATATTTATTTTGCATACTGTATAAACCCAACTCATCATATAAAAGTCAATTGGATTTTTTTTTCTTACCAGTATCAAAATGAATTTCTATATTCAAAACATTACTGTTTCTAAATGAAATAGACTTCCTATCAGATCACAGACCTATACCTTTTCATTAAACCTATAGTTTTAAGAAATTTCTAAATCAAAACAACCACCTCCACCATCAAATTAAAATTACAATATCAATAATCTAAACATTCCATCTCTAGCCAATGATTATCATAATAACCTTAAACTAATTAATATTAATAATTCTTGGAACATAATCCATAATTCAATTATGAACTCGGCTAACCTCCATTTAAATATCAAAACAATTTATCCTGATTGGATTAGCTCAAATACTACTAATCTAATTAATTCCTTACTAAATAAAAATATTTTAAAAAAAAACAAAGAAAAAAAAACAACATGTTAAAATCAAACTAAACGAAAATTAAAAAATCCATTAGGAAAGATAAACGTAATTATCTTACAAACAAACTCAATCACATCACAGATTTAAACACTCAAATGACTTATATGCCTTCAAAACTTTAAAATTTATAACCTCATCTAATGATAAAAAAAATTAAAAATCTGAAAGTTGATCGCCTTATAATAAAAAAAACTCCCTGAAGATCATTTAAATATCTTTTTCGATCATAACAGATCTATTTTCAATAATAAAATTCCTCATCATAAATCACTAACTTCACAATCAACTTATAACAACTCCTCCTTTTGACCTTAAATAAAAACGACTTTATCACAATTATAGAAAAACTATAAAATCACAAAGCATACATATAACGAAATGTTAAAAATATTTCCTGATACTAATACTGATCTATCATTTTCAACCTTAAACTATATTTGGAATAAAGTTATTATCCCCCTTGATTGGTGTAAATTTGCAATCATTAATCTACCCAAAACCTCGAACCCTATCTTCAATACCCATTATAGAAGTATCACTCTCACCTCTCCATATTATAAAATTCTCACTAACTTCATCTTTAACTTATAAGATATTGATAATAATACTCATAACTCCATTGCTTCCTTTAGAGGTCGCAACACTATAGAACTAATAACAGCCCTAAAAATTAGACTAGAGAAAAAGTTACCATATAACCGATACTTATATTATTTTCATCGATATCTCCAAAGCCTTCGATTCCATTAACCACTCAATATGGAATATAGATACTCTTCAAATATCAATATCAATACTCATTTAATATAAATCATCATGTCAAATCTACGAATATTTAGTATCATTAACATCAAACACAATAATTTATAACATCTCCTTATTTTTAAAATAAAATGCGGTATTAAACAGGAACTCTTTATCTCCCCTCCCCCCTTATATTTAACTTACTAATTAGTGATCTAATTAACAAAAACAAAAATTTAAAAAAATGACAAAAATATAAGTAAATTTATGAAAAGTACAAAGTTTAATAAAAAATTAGGGAAATTTTATAAAAAATGACAAAAATATAAGGAAATTTATGAAAAGTACAAAGATTAATAAAAAAAATTGATAGGTAAATTTTATAAAAGATGACTAAAAAAAGATTTAAAAGAAAAATGGAAATTATAGTGATTAAAAATATGAAAAAATATTTTTCAAAATTCCCGACCCTTAAAAATAATTATTTTCTTCCCTATGACTTATTTCTGTTTCCTTTTAAAAAATAATATTTTTTTTTTAACATAAAAAAATTTAAAAAATGATAGATTAAATAATGGCTCACAATGTTTCCCACTTACCGACAATTTTATGATTGCTAAATTTTCATTTATTTACAAAACTAAAAAAAATGTAAATGAAAGAATGATTGCTCATGATAATCGAAAATAAATATATATATATCACGACAAAATGAATATCCATCAAGCCCTCGTTAATTGAAATCCAAATGTCTCACTTCCACCTTCCCCATTGGTCAGTGCCTTTGCTCCCATCTCATAATATGGTTACCTACTCTGGTCACTTTCGATAATAATTTTTTCTACATTGTTCCTTCCCAGAGCTTGCCCTCCATCACAAACATATTAGTATTGCTGGCTCTTTAATTACGTGAGTCTCCTCATTTTTTGTGCCATGGTCCTTTGGGCTGTGTCGGGGTCAATTTTTTAAATATAATTTCGGTTCAGGCTGGGTTGGGTCTAATATTTTTTAAAAAATTTGGGCCGGGCCAGGCTTAAATTTTTAAATATATTAACATTACATTTTTTTCAAATAAATTGATATATTTTAAAATTCTCGCAAGAAACAAGGTGCTATTTTTTTTTTGTATATTAAATTTTTCCATATTTAAAGTAAATTCGGGCTGGGTGGACAAATTATTTTTAGGGCTTGGTCAGGCTTGAAAAATTAGTCCCGAGGCAGATGACTAGTTGCAGATCCTCTTCGCCTCAATAATATCGATTGCCTCGATGCTGAACATAACCACCTTCATAGATTGCACTTATATTGAGCATAACCATGTTCATAGATTGCACTTTTGCTGAACATACCTATCCATATCTGATCTTTGGTTTGGTCATTCCACCGTACCTCCGGATGTTATCTTTGACTGTAGAGTGTCTGTTAATTGGTAATTTATTCACCCTTTTTTTTATTATCTTTAAAAAAACCCTTCCTCAATTATCCTTCAACGCTTCAAGACCGCCTCTCAACCTCCCAGGTTTACACCCCCTTCCGTAACTTGTTCCGTTGTGAATTCCTTCCTTTCCACCTTTTAACTCTATCCAACTCATTTAATTACCACTTCAGACACCCAGAAATCTACGCACAATCTGAGTTTTCTGCCAGCCTTCACCGGCACCAACGGGGTTACCCTTCTCTACCCATTGATCTAACTCAATTTGCACCTTTTTTAGCCGCTCAAACGGTATTCATCGCAACGCACAAAAATTTCGGCACACAGCCCTCCTTTAATTTAATACCCACTTCATAATTTCTGAGATACCCCAAATTCTCATCAAAAATTTTCCGTTAATTATCCACTACTTTGATCGTTCCCAATTCTTCTTCATTATTTTGTCATTCCTTTTCAATTCATATAAGTTTGTATAAATAAAAAATGTTCAAACTCGTTTTTATAGGTTCTAACCGAAGCGATAATAGGTATGAACCTACCCGAACCGGTATTCGCTTTGGTTTGGATCCCTGGTTTTAAAATTACTACCAATCATTCAAAATTTGATGAGTGTCAAAAATATATTTTTTTATCATTTATTTATTAACCAACTTAAGCCAATATTAACGAAAATGCGAGACAGATGGGCGGAGGAGCTATGTCACCCTTCAATTCCATCACTATGGATAATAATAAAATGCCCCTCGAGGATATGGAATACGCTACTAAACTAAAACAACTTTCCAAATACGTAGAACCACTGAGAAAATTGATATTTAAAATAGAGAAAGAAGATGGTAAAATCTTTTAATGCTTCGTCTTTTAGTATTTAATTAGGGGGCTGGGGTTTAACAAATAAAATCAAATATTTTTGATCCTTGAAGATCATTTCGAGATTGATCTTATAAGCGGGATTTTTGGTAAAATATTTCTCAAAATTTCAAATCTTTCCCTTTGTAAGAAAAAAATATTTTTTATAAAGTATCATATCATTTGTCATTTTTATGCATAAATTTTTTTTTAATTGGTTAAAAAATCATATTTTTTCCCCCTTATTTTTTTTAGGGTAGGTCCAAAAATCCTTTTTTTTTAAATTGGAAATTATTTTAATAATTTCTTATTGAAATTAAATTTCTAAATATTATTTTGGACATATTTTTTTATTTTAAAAGCTTATATTATTACTTTTTTTTCCAAAAAGTTTGCGAATCGTATTTTTTGTGGACATTCCAGACTTGTCCAAATATAATTTAATTTTTATTCATCTTCAAAGATTTTTGCTCATTTCATTTTAAGATTTTGTCAACTCAATTTATTATTTTTTAATATTTTTCTAAAAAAAATAGATCAAAAAAAGGAGATAGTGAAACTCAAGGCACTTTTGGATATTTTATCGAATAATAGCCCAAATACTAAAAAGTAATATTATGATTTTTATTTTTTTAGAAAAAATTAAATAAATATATCGTCGGCTCTAGAATTGTAGTGCTCCACTTGCACAAAGGTTTAAAATGGAAAAAAATCTACATTTAAAGTTTAAAATAAAATGTAGGAAAAAGTTTATGATCAATTTTGACGATAACTTTGACCAAAAATGAATACTTTTTTAAATCTAGTTTTTATTTTTAATATATATATTAGAAATAAATAAGTTAATAAATATCCACTTCTAACTCAAAAATTTTTGAAAATGTCGAGTGGAGCATTCCAATTCTAGACCGACGAGTTTTCGGCTATGTGTTATTTTGTCAACTTTAAATCAATTTTTGAGCACGTTTTTTTAAAAATCTGATCTTTTACCTATTCTTATCCTATGAATTTCAGACAATTACGAACTTCTTAACTTGATATAATATATATTACATTTTTAATATATTTTTTTTATATAAATTATAAATGACTCAAAGGTTAACAGCAAAATTTGTGCATAATTCATAAGATAGGTATTCCGAACATGATAGATATTTCAGTTAAAATCCGATTTTTAAAATTTAACAAAAACGCTTTCAAAAAATAATTTAAAGTTGAAATAAAAAAAATAATAACACATTGACGCTACATATATACTTTGACCTGATTTTTAGCCGCTAGTTATAAATTTTTTATAATATAATTTTTTTTAATTGCTTATTAATTTTTCAAAAAAAAACAAATAAATATACACTATTCCACAGATATCTCGGCATTTTTTATATTCATTTGACAGAATACTTATTATATCCAAAATCGATTTCGTTATTTTTTTAATTATCATATATAATAATTATTTTATTAAAATTTTTGGGACATAATGATGATCTCCTTGAATTTAACGTCAATCCAGCGGTAGAGAAAACTCTTTCACTAGGTGTGCTAGTCACCGGAATGCAAAGAATTTTTTTGTCGAGCCCGGAAAGATTTTAAAGTTCACTCTTTTTTTCTCTCAAAAAATTTAGAACGTCCATATCTTGTGAATATCGTTTTCCAAGAAAACTGTGTTTCTTGTTCTAAGTCATCTAACTTGGAATCATAATTTATATTTGTTGTATTTGCCAATTTTGTCAAATAACTTGAATTTAATCATTCATCTTCATCCTCATCAGCTATATTTACTACCTGATTATCATCATTCTCTATAAGTTTAAAATGTTTTATTATAAATTCTGAAGCTGAGCAATTTTGCTCTATTAAATACTTTGACACAATTGTCAATTTTTAAAATCTTGGATCTAAAAGAGAAGCTAATACCTAGATAATTTTAAATAAAAATAAAAGAATATACTTGTATAATATTACTTGCAGATTACAAACCGGAAATCGTAACGCAAGGTTTTTTTAGCATATTTTCTTTAAGTGAAATAATTTCAGAACTATCACTATCATTTACTATTAAATGTGTTTCAATTTCACTTCTAAAAAGTAACGCCAAGTTTAAAGTAGGCCCTTTTTGTACTGAAAGAAATTCGACAGTTTCTTTAAATTTTGAAAGAAATGCTAATAGTTCTTCTACCAGATCAGATTCATAATTTGATAATTTGAGAAAGTGCTTCCCAATTCTTTTCAAAACATAATTAATTAAATTCTTATTTAATCCAGATATGCTTTCTATCATAATTAATATACTATGCTAACATGTTGGGACATTTAATTTTAAGGTTTTCATATGCGTGGAATTATTGTTATTATTATCATTGGAATTGCCAATTTGAAAGCGGGTACCCGGGTATGGATCAATGCTGTCAAGATCTAACATGTCTGATGTTAAATCTATTGTACTTAGACATTTTCTTTGATATTCCTCGAATTCAAATTCAACCTCTGCAGTTTTATATCTTAGAGCAGTAATAATTTCTCTAATTCTTTTGCAAAAAATTTCCAAACTATGGATTTTTTATTATCCAGAGTTAGGATACTAAAATTATTTATAGAATTGTTAAATGTAGATACATCCATTTTAAAAATATGTAAAATTATGGTAACTTTTGGAACTTTAGATTTTTGATTGATTGAATTCTCTTATGACGTCAATATAATTATGATTTTGAAATAGTAGAAAATAAAAATTTATCAAAATCCTGATTGACTAAAAAATTACAAGAGTGATGTTGACCATTTATTAGAATAAAAAGGTATAAAATATGAAAGAAATTTCTGCTCTGGCTGTGGTGCGCCGGCGTGATTTTCTTAAATGGCGGCGTTTTCAGCATAACCAAAAAGGTCTATATATACTTATTATTGCTTTGGATTTTATAAGTTTACCAAGTCTGATTTTTTATACATATATATAAATTTACCTAGTGTAATAGAAAGAGGTTTGTTCAATAACATAGCATTAGAAGGCATCGTTGAATGCGAATCAGCCGGACCCACCATTTTGGTAATCCATATAGTAATTATTCTAATGTTAAAAACTACTATTAAATTGATAACTTGCTTTCTTATTATCTCGATCAGGCAATTCTTCAAAAAAGTTTGCGTCAGATATAGGAATAAATTGGCCTTTCGTTTAAAATTTTTTGATATGGGTAACCAAAATGGCCTCCCCAGCTGTTTTCATTGATGTACACTTTTAATGAATGCATCGTCAGTCTAGGTATTATTATGTCATGGCCGATCCACAAATTTTTGATCGATCCTATCCTATATCACTGAAAAACCGATCCGGTCCGATATTGATTTTTATTTACCATCTATCTTTGAACCAATGTCATAAAAATTTCAATATTTTCTATTATAAAAAAATACCAACCAACTTTCGTCAATGAATAAGTATATTTTGTTTTTTTTTTAAAAAAAATTCTCCAAAAGTTATTAATATCGTTTAAAATATATGTAATAATTATGTGTAAATTTATAGTGTTGTTAAATAGCCCCATTTGGCCGATTTATAAAATAGGGCTAAATCAAGATCTTAGCCAAAATATTTATACCCTAAGTCTCGAAATTTTGTCAATAAAAAGTCCAAACCTTTTCAGCCCTATGTGGGCAAAATGAATAAGCTTGGGTAATTTACTTTTGGCCAAAATTTTTATTTGACCATCATTCCACCTCCTTTCGATGGTATAATCTCACAATTCATATTTGCATTTAATGGGAAAATTTTTAACTAAAAGGCACTAATGACACGATAAAAAAAATATATCAATAAACGCAAGTATCCGAAAATATTAAAACCAGATTTTTAATCAAATTTTTCCTAAAAATGCCAGTAAATCCTTATTTTTCCATCCATAATCTTTGAAGGTAAAAATCAAAATCTGATATAAAATATTTGATTACGGTGGCGCTAATTTTAATATTTGTAAATTTCTATGGATTTACTATTTTCAAAAATATACGAATAATTAAAAAAAAATTTTTATTATTCAATTCGAATTTTTTTGAATTGAACAATTCGTTTGTAAATTTCGAATATAATCATTGGATAGGCGCAGTAATATTAACCACACGAATAAACTCATAACCCAAAAAGTAATAGGAAAAAGGCCAAAAAATTATAATTTGACAATAAAATTAAGTAAGTAAAATAATGATCATATGTTGCCTCAAGATCGGCCTTTTATATTAAATGATAAATAATTCTCTAAAATAAAATAAAATAGGACTCATCCCTGGAGTCTTATAAATTATACGATTCAAAGTCAAATGCTTGCGCCGTTGTTACACGGTCAAATTATTACGCGTAATAAAAACTATAATAAAAAAACAATATCAATTATAGCAATAGTCAAATCTTTAGGCTAGTGGTTTTTATTTTTCTTATTTTCAAACACGGATCGGATATTTGGCAGGTTTCCGGTTATTACTATTTGGCTAAAAAAGGTATACGATATATGTGATTAAATGGAAAAGGGTAGAAAAATTAAATAAATATTTCGACGTATTTATTAAATTCTGGATCTTAATCTCATCATATTTTTTTCTTTCTTCCAAACCCAAAGTTACGATTTTACAGATAACTAGTTTTTTTATACTTATTTTATTTTAATCAAGGGTCCCTATTACTACATTGCTCAAATGCGAAGTGGTGTTAGCGCGCCAATTCGAAACTTCCTCCCAAGATAAACAAGTAATCAATCATTACAAATCTAATTATAATGACACATTATTATATTTTTTCTAAATGATTCGTTCAAAAAAATCTAAACTTTAAATTAAAAAAAACGCGCTCAAAAAATGATTTAATGTTGAAAAAAATTAACACGACGGATAAATAAACGCAAACCGATTCTATATATTTTTTTTAAAAAAAAATTGATATTTTGGACACAGCTTAAAAGTGTAATTTTATATTCAGGGATTCGAACCGAACCCGGAGAAGTGAACCCGGGTTTTTAGAAAAAACTCTGAACCCGAACCGAACCTGAACCCCATTTATAAAATTTTCAAAACCCCGAACTGAACCCAAGAATTTTATTTTAACCCGGGTTCAATCGGGTTCAGTGTATTATTTAAAATCATATATTAATATATGTAAATACAAATATTATATTTTCAAATTTCCAATTAAATGAAGTCTTAATAAATTTTAAACAATTTAATTCATTTATGCCATTTTTAAATTTATTCTCGATTCCTATTGGAGTGTTAAAAAATTTTAAACAATTGAATTAATTTACGCCATTTATTTTTAAATTTTTATCTTATTATTCTTAAAGATTATTAATTAGAAGAAAATGGTTAACAAATCAAAGTAAAAATTATTATATTGTTAATTTAAAAAATTCTAAACATCTAACTTAAAAATTGTTAAATGTAGGGCAGTTTTTGTGAACTTATTAAAATGATTTTAAAATTTATATATGCTAATCATTTATTTTTGGTTCAGTTTAATTTTTACAAGATATTAATGAAGTGCATATTATAAATGAAATTAAATTTATAAATATCTCTTTTTTAATTCTGAAATCATTGCTATTTAAAAAAATTGTTCTCTTTTTATAGATTTAAGATTAAAGATAAAGTCATATTTGATAAGCATTTTACCCTTAATACAATAGAAAAAAAATCAATATGTTCATATTGCAAAGTAAAAATGTCTGGTAATCACTTGTCAAATTTAGAAAGACACCTGGAAAGAAATCACAACAATGAATATTTAAATTATTTAAATGAAAAAACCAAATATCAGGAATTGTTATTGGCAAAAAAACCTAAAATTAATATAGAAACCTTTTTTCCAAAAAAGCATATAAGTATAAATATATCATCTAATGATTTGATGAGTTCTATACTAGAACTTGTTACTGTAAATGGCCGGCCTTTATCAATTATTGAAGATTCGGGATTTCAAAGAATTATAAATCCACTCCTATCTGGGCTCAATTTAGTTATAAACAAAGAAAATTTATCCAGAACTATTAATAAAACAGCCCAATCAATTAGAGACAAAATATCGAGAGAGGTAGAAGGAAAATTAATAAGTTTAAAGTTGATGCAGTTCAACGACTAGATAGGTCAATTCTTGGTGTAAATATTCAATTTATATCAAAGTCCATTATAAATTTGAGGACTCTTGGAATTGTAGAGCTGAAAGAGAGAGCCTAAATTTAAAATTAAGACATCCTACTTACCAAAAGTTATTAAAAAATATGAAACTCCCTAAGCCTGTGTTAGATTGCCACAGATGGCATTCAACCCATGATATGTTAGAAAGGCTGATTTTACTAAAACCCAATATCGAAGATTTTTTTACAGAGCAATCTGATTATTTATTGACTGAAGATTGGAAAAAGATAATAACGATTGTTGAAATTTTAAAACCGCTAAAAATCGCAACCAAACAATTCCAATCTGAACAGTTAACACTGACAGATTTTTATGCAGCATGGTTAAGATGCTGCATCGAACTGGAAAAAAATCCAAACCATTTTGCTCAATTACTATATTCTTGTCTTAAGAACAGAGAAGAAAGGTTTATAAAGAACGAAATTCTCTTAGCTGCCATATACCTGGACCCAAGATACAAGGTTAATTAAAAGCTTAGTAAATTAATTATTTTAGATTTATATTAAAATTGTTATTTTATGAAATATTTAAATATAAACAATATAAATCCTTAAATAATACAGGTATTACTTTGTGATGATGATAAGATTTGTGCGAAAAAACATCTTGTCAATTTATGGAGACGAATTAAAAGCTTAACGCCGATTTTATCTGATGATATTAGTTCCGATGAAGTTATTGAACAAGAAGATGATTTAGAGAAATTGATACAACTTAAAGAAAGGCAGGAGAAAATACTTAAAAGAGGGCCAACGATTGCTGAGAAAAGTATTGGAACAATAATTACTGGATTTAGCGATTATAAAAGATTAGATAAGAAGGAAAATATTTTGCATTTTTGGGAGTCTGCTAAGCTGGAACACCCTGAATTATATATTTTATCTAAAATCTTATTTGCTATTCCTGCAACCCAAGTTAATTTTTCATATTTTCACATATAAATACATTTAACATAGGTTAGCGTTGAAAGATCTTTTTCACATTTGAAATTCATTCTTTCACCACATAGATCGAGGATGAGTGAACAACTCTTGGAAGATATTATGCTAATACGTCTAAATAAAATTTTTAAAATTGATACATGACTATATGCTTTGTATTTTAAACTATATTTGTATATAAATAAAATAAAAAATTTATTTTTTATATCAAATTTATGTCTAGTTTTTTATTATGATTTAAATATAGAATTTTTTTTATCAACTCAAAAATTCTTGAACCCGAACCGAATCAAACCCGGGTTCAAAAATATTTCCCTGAACCGAACCCGAACCGAACCCACCTTTTTTTTTATACCCCGAACCGAACCCGGGCAAAAATTTTGTCGGGTTCGCACTACCCGTTTTATCATTTCAACCTAGCCGTTAAAATTTTAACCCCCCCCCCCTTTTTTGACATATTTATAGGCTTTAACTGACAGATTTCATTTTATAAGTTTTTTTATTTCCATTTTAATATTAGTAAAAATTTTAGTTTAATATTTATGATATATTTACGATCGATACTGACCTGACCACATAAATATGAAAAGAAAAAAAATGATATAATTTGATATTTTTTTTTCCAAAAAAAAGTATACCTTTTTTCTTAAAGAAGTATAAATTTAAATTTCTCTTTTTTAAATTGTTAAATCTCTTTGTACCTCCAGTCTAGCAACGTTTTCGCGTCTCTAAATTCTCCTTCTATTCTTTCGATAAGCGCGGCTCAGGGAGGTGAAGATGTAAAACCTAGAATGATGCAGCAACCGATGACATATAATAACAATTCCGCTACCGCCATTACCAATGTTACGCCCCCCAATAACCCCAATTACAACGCGTATCAGAGTAACTCCGCCAATATCGTGAGTGGTACCTCCGAACAACATTTAAATGCTACCACTAATTATGACAGCGGTTCGTTGAGGGAAGCCATAGGGCAATTTTCGGCTACTTTGGAGAAGTTCAAACAGTCTTGCCTGAACGAAAATGATGGTGGTCAACGCATGAGCCAAGCCTTGATGGAGACGTTTGCTCCCGCTTATTATAAGGCTTATCTTCTGCCTTGAATTCCATTATAATTATTAATTAAAAAAAAATTATGCATTAACAATGTGTTAGAATTTGAATAAGTTGATTGTAATTTTAGAAGTAATTTTATTTTTGATGTATTTATATATATATTATTTAATTATTAATAAATAGTGTTTGTTTACTATCAAATAACAATTGATTATAACTATTGTCAAAATTTACACATGTCCGACTTAAGAAAATAACCCTTACAACAGCTGATATATTTAAATTTCAATTCGTCTCTTTACAATCATTCATATAGCCTGACAGATTTGACATTATTAATAAAAATGATAAAATTCATATCTTTCCTTTTAATCTTAATCTAGATCTTTTGTTTTTTAATTTTAAATATATTTCATCCAATTAAAAACATTTCATTTAGTTGAACATTCTTTGAGTTGAGCTATTATCCAAAACAAAACAGTAAAATAAAAATTTTTAGAAAGTATATTAACAATAATAAAGAGCAATTTAGAAAAAATATATTTCACAACCGACAAATGTGCCATGATTGACTGTTTCTCTATAAAAATAGCTAAAATTAGTGGCCATTTAACTAGTGTTGTTAAACGGGTCGTTTTGAGCCGATTTTTAAAAACGGCGAACTCAATATTTTATCCAGAAAAATATTACATAAGCCTGAAGATTTTATTCATAAACCGAACAGATGTCTAAGCATATATTATCGAAGACAATATTTTCCTGACTAAAATATTCAGTTAGCCGTTTTTAAAAATCGGCTCAAAACGAGCCGTTTAACAACATAACCTGTCGAAATAGCTGACTTTTTAAGTTAAAAAAAAGCTAAAAACTATGTTTAACCGTTTTTTTGACCGGGTACCCAATTGTAATAAATAGAAGAAATAACGAGTTATATCCAATTTTGTTTTCAACAATAAATTGAATTGGTGAATGATTGATGAGGTGGGAAGGATGTTATGAAATCCAGTATATTTTTCATTCAATTCTGAGTTGTTTTTTTTAAAAAAAACTTTAATCCAGCGTGTCTAAGTTGTCATTTACCTATAATTTTTTTGGGCTCTAAAATAGATAAAAGGGTATGGCGGGCTACGAAGAGGGGCGTAGCAAAATAACCCTCAAGGCGCGAGTGACCCCAGAGAGTATGATAGCCCATCTAATTACGAAATATTTTTTCAGATTTGATTCCTTCATATATTTTAAAAATTCAAAATTATATTTAAAAAAAATGGTCTACGAGCCCAAAAAATAATTTGGAGTGAAATACGGAGAATAGCTAAAATTAATGAGTCCTCTTTTATGATAAATCTTTCGAGAATCAACTCAAGATAAAATAAAAATACAGATCAACTAAATTTGTTTTAAATTAATAAATCCTTTTTATTATTATTTCTTAGGTTACGATTTAAGTTTCCAATCATGTTAAAATTATTTAAAAATATATGTCAATAACCGAAATATGCTATTCGTGGTTCAAAGCATTTCCTCAGAATCATTATAGAATTGATTTAACAAGAAATGATTTTACAGTCAATTTTTGGAGTGCTTACCAGATACTTTTTAATTTATTTTCATATAATAATTAATATAAATTAAAGTAGTTCAAAAGATCATAGGATACAGAATATCTATCAATTGAAATAGGATTTTTTCCCCTAAATTTGCCCATATCTATTTGTTTTGCCATTTTAAACACTAAAATAATTTTGATTTCTTTTAAAGAAGTTGATCCGCTCTGATTGAGTTTACATAAGTAATGTAATTTAATGATATTCCTAATTCTGAGCTAACATAAGTAATGTAATTTAATGATATTCCTAATTCTGAGCTAATTCCTACATGTTACGATATAATAATATGCCATTATCTTGTATTTTGCCACACGTTATTTTTAAAATAACCTGAAATCTGAAGTGACTTTTAAACACTAAAATAAATAACATTGATTATTTTACACACATTTTCTACAAGTAAAAAAAATTTTTTTTAATTGGTCCACAATTACCCCACTCACATCTGATATAAGTTTAATTAAAATGAGAATAAAAAATGAGCCGGTCTGAACCGAACGGGACTGGGATACCCGAAGATCGATCGCTCACGAATGTATTCCCATGACAGCGCCGACACGGAAACTTTTGCCTGCTCTGTTTCCAGCCTGGGCCGGTTTGTTTCTCCTTAAGCCAACCTGGGGCCACTCGGGCTTCCGCCCCGTGCTCCATGTTGATGCCGAGCTTAATGTGGGCATTCGGTCAAACGCGATTGGTTTAATGTTTCCCGTCAGAAAAGAACCTCCGAGAAAATCCGTAATCTTGGATATGAACCCCAGCCTCAATCCATTCCAACTCATTATAGGCTTCCTAGTCGTGGGATTACAGGCGTGTACCACCACGCCCAGCCGGTAATCGAGTGCATTTTGGATGTATTTATTAGGAATGAATTAATAGATTATTTAGCAGGTTTTTATTATTATAAATAAAATTTTACAATAATATTATGATTTATAAACATTTTATTACTTACAAGGAATGATAATAGTTTACTAATCAAAATATTGGCAGGTTTTTATAGATTACATTTTTTTTAAATGCTTATAAAATGGTTCATTTAGATCTTGGATGTATTCCTTTTTATTTTTATGTAAGGATGAATTATTCAATATGTTAGATTTTAAATTATGATGCATGAATATTTTTTATATGCATGTTTTTATAATATATGATAAAATGATATCAGATTACTACAATTTTAATTGTTTAAAATATTAATTTAATCACTACTTCTATCAACAATGTTCAAATAATATTTTATATTTACTTGAAGTGAATTAAAAGACAATTATAACATAAAATGATTAAAGAAATATCGTTCTCATACACTATTTTGATTATGATTTTATAGTCTTTATAATATTAAAATTAATTCATGCTTTTATTATTGCTAAATAATTTGCTTCAGATTTTTTTTATGATTTACCAAATCATTTTATGTTAATACTCTTCTTATGCAATTGTAAATTATGCCAGTACGTAACAAAGTTTGTAATACAATATATGTGTCATGTCTATTTTGATTCTTGAAAATTAAAGATATTTCAATTGTAATAAGAAATTTTAAACCTAATTTATAATTTATCCTTTAATTAAATTAATTTATCATTATAAACTTGTATTTAAAAACAACTCATACTTTTTCCTTAACATAACATTATAATTTGTAAATAAGAATAAGATCCTTATCATATTTATGATAAAAAACATAACTACAAGTATATTTATGTTTATAATATATTTTTTAAACTTTTTAATAAACTCATTTCTTATTTATAGAAACTGAAACCTGATTCTACAACCACCATCTAAATAAAATTTAATATTCTCAATATAATTTTTTTGCAAACAAAATCAATGGAAAACACTTTGAATTTATTGATGTTAAATTATTCAGTGCAAGTCTAGTGAAACAAAAATATCAATTGGCTTTAGGTTAGGAAATATAATTAATTTATGTATTCCTTTAAATCAGTGCTGCAATTAAATCATAAATTAAAAAAAACTACAAAAATTTTAGGATATTGTTTCAAGGATTTTCTTAACATGGAATGCTAATAACATTTAATGGAGATGTGCATGAGTTATATCTTATATGTAAACTCAAATTGGTCTTAGACAGACATTCTCTTATATGTACCTTGACTTTATATTTTGGACTCTCAGACCTTGACAAAGTTTTAAATTTTTGTCTTCATAATGTTTTTAGGAATATTCTTTTCAATAATAAGATTTTTTTGCCAACATCACTAAATAAAAAAATTCTAATTGATTTTGACCTATTTCTAAAATAAAATTTCTGATCAGACTTGAAAAAATAATATTTGTATCAGTCAGAAAAAAAATATTAATCATTTTCCTTTTAGATTCTATTGAACCAAGAAGAAAAAAAGACTAATAAAAACTTATCACATCTACTATAACAAGAATCTATCTTGAGACTCATTTTTGGGTTGATGATTTTTTTTGATTCTCAAACAGTAAACTTTTCAAGAAGCAAAAAGATTCATTACAGCATTAAGGTTAATATAACTTCTAAGAAACTAGTATTCATGTGTTTTTCTTAATTTTTGTAATATATTTTTTTATCATTTTCTTTCTAATTTTTATCCACAAATATATTCAGAATCGGGCTGCCACATCTTAAATAAAAGTATCTTGATACATACCTTATTACAGATACATTTTATAGAGCGTTAAGGTAGATCGCCATTATTCATTTTTCAAACTATTTGCTCATAGTAAATTATTGGCATATTGTGTATAAATAGAATTGGCTTTAAATGCCAATATCTAGTGTTTAAACAAGAAAAATAAATCTCATTTTTTTTTCAAATTAAATGGCTTCCATTACGGCATAACCGGAAATAAGAATTTTATTGAACGTTTTAGAAATCTCATTTGACAAATTATTTTATTCACACTAAAGAAATAAACTCTAAAAGCGCTTTTGATTTGTGGGGTTGTGACGCATACCTCTTTGATTTTATATTATCAAATCTTTCCATTGTATTTAATGAAAACTGATCTTTTTCTCCATATTAGGTGGACTTATTTCTTTCTTGAAGTATTTATACAATCATAGTCGTTTAGAAATCCCTCAAAACATGATAAACACCTTTGGCATTGAGTTTCTGATTTATTTAAAAATGAACAATTATAATTGAAATATTTTCATATTAGAAAGGGTTTATCATTATTTAGAATTGAAGTTGAATGAAATATAAAAATGATCATTCACTGATTTTTTATTTAAACTTCATTAGACAGCTTTTTCAAAAAAATTAGATTAGTAAATATCTAAAGATCATTTTTGTCCAAATATAAATTCTTGGTGAATATTTTTAGTCATTTAAAATCAATAGAAATTTTAAATTATTCGTTTAGTTTTTTTTAAACTTTAGTCCCATTGTTATATGAATAATAAATTCCCGAATAATTTTGGAATTTACCAGGTACCATTCTTGGCAACTTTGTGGAAATGCAACAAATTTGTCAAAAATCAAAATTTGGCAATTTTTATTTTTTAAAAAAAATCTTAAATTAGTCATA